AGGCGTAATACATATATACATACACATATGCATTTGGATTATACACTGGGCCAAATAATAAGAATATTGACCTAAATAATAAGAAATAGCCTCCGTAGCTGGCTTTGAATCTCTGTCCCGGGCGGACGACCGTGTCTCCACCACTAGTTGAAGCAATTATTTACCACCGTGCGACAAAAAACAAAGTATTTAAAAAACACTAAAACAATCAATATACTCACGATATTATGGCTCAGATATAGTAAAACCGCGTTTTTGGGTTTTCTCTCTGACGCCAGGATTTCTTTCAAAAGTAGTTTTTAAGCGAAAACCCAAACCGACTTCAATTCTCATATAAAAACTTAAGAGTACCGTTAATGTCTTCATGATGCAATGATCGAATGTAAGCTAAATTAGTATGGTACCACCTCCTAGGTGCCACCTTTTCTTAAAAAAAAAAGAAAAGAATTATAGAAATCGGTTTAAGTGGTCCAAAGTTATGCGGTAGCATGCATAAAAAAAAATCCGACGAATTGATAACCTCCTCCTTTTTTTTGAAGTCGGTTAAAAATTAATTAAAAAATTCAGTGCAAGGTAGCATAATAATATGGGTACCAGATGAAAGAGAAATTTCTGTAGAGTTTAAACAAATTTAAGTCTTTTGGTTCACAAGAACGGTCATGATCTTGTGTATACAAATACTTAACATACAATTTTTTTCAAAAATATTTATTTCAAACTTTCACGCACCAAAAAAGTTTACCTTTTTTTAATTTTACCGAACTCTCTCTTTTATACGATACCCATACTCTTATGCTGTACTGAGTTTTTTAAATAATTTTTTTAATTAATCCTATCTTTAAAATTCCAGAGTCCGTTTAGGAAAATTTTGACGTCAGAGAGAATAAAATTATAGTTTAAAAAACTAAAACCTACCTATTATAATTGCCATTCGTACTGTCATCAGGTATGTAACTTGAGAATAGGAATCGCTGCATCTTTTAGGCGCAACAATATTACATAGTTACGTCCCAAGTTACTAAAAGGAAGGTAAAAAAACAACGTAGTTTTACTATTTATGGCCCCTAGTTTCGGCAAAATATTAGGTGCAATCGCGTACGAGCTCGGAATAGTCAGTAACAGTTAAAATTAGTCAGATTTTACAGGAAATCGATCCCGTACTCGGTTCTCTGAAAATTGAGAGGACGAAAAAGGGCCTCTATCTGTCAGAAGTTACCAGTTTTAGTCCGAAGATTTTTTGCTGGTAAATTCTGGTAAATGTGTCTAATCCTCAGCTAGTGTCTTTTACAACCAAATTGTAAACAAAAGAAGAGTCGACTATGTTAATGCATGTTGAAAAGTATTTAATTACTAGAGCTATTGATTTTTTTGTGTGTAAAATCGACTGTCGCACGGTATTATATGTAGATACAAAACTATAATTTTGCCGACACAAGCAACAACCTTTATCCCAACGAGAGCTTCCGAGATTTCCTACAGCAAAAAAAATTCAAATTCAAAACACCAAGAGTACTGTGCCTTCCAGTAGTAAGCTCACCGCCCAGCGAACAGTGTCTGTTTATCTTGCTGCGATAATATATAAACATAGTACGTACATAACGAGAAACAATAAAAAATAAACTATGGCTTCGAAAATATATGTACATGTATATGAATAATCTCGGACTATATAATTTTTTTTGTTGAAAATTATTTTGTATTACCGTATAAGGGATCTTCCATTCAATATCCTCATCTGTCACTTTAAAAAAACTTTAGCCTGATATTAAACCCCATCTGTGACTTAAATTAATAAATTTCAAACTTTTAAATCCAGTCGTACATTTTATGGAAAAATGTAGTACAAACTAAAAATTTCAGGTGGCAGCCTTAGTTGGCAGACTCAAAAATAAGAAAACTGGTAATAAACTCAAAAATTCTGTGCTAAATAACTTTACTTTCTTTTTTAATGTATAGCTATTTACTAGCATTGATTATAAAATTTTCAACAAGTATATTATTCACATATTCCACATTTTCTTTTGTTTATTCAGGAACATATCGACCCCTAACAAAAAATCGTAAGCGACATCGTTTGCATTATTTTTGCGGATGGGGCTCGACATGCATTTACTTTTACATACATACATATGTGCATATGTACATATGAATACATACTACATATGTGGATTTGGGCCTTATCACTGACGTCACAGGCAACGGCAAATTCGTTTTTTAAAAATACAATTATTTTGGTATTAAATACTCTTATCCTCGGTTACTTATGATTGTATAGAGGAGTTCGCTCTTTTGTGTACTCGTTGTATGCTGTGTAATTGTAACTGAATGAGCGTGTGATTTGTTGTTGCTAGCGGTACCACACGCTCGTCCAGTTAAGAGCTGGTTATACTAACATTGCAGTGCAGGGCATAGAAAAGCAGCGCATGTGAAGCAGGAATGTAATTATACTCCGCATAGAGCGCATAATCTCCCAGAATCAGCTGATCAGTGTAAGTTTAACCAACGCTTTACGCTTACGCAGGATACAGCGAACACACAGAAGGGCGAATTCCAATTATTTACTATGTATATTTGTATATACATTCATACATATACATATATGTTCATTCATTCTTAAACCTAGAGAACTAATGTTAGTCGATTCGACTATTGTTTAATATTGACGAACTAAAAAAAAACACATAAATGTTTCGCGGCCTTGCATTTTGCCGACACTTTCGCTAATTTGTGGTGTGAGTCTTTACGTTGTCAGAAAGTGGTTGTACGTCGTATCAGAACGGATTTATTTATTTAACCCAAAAAATTTTAAAATTTCACTTGCTATTACGGATAGTTATAGAAGCCATGAATATCTGAACCGGCGTTAAGGGAATGGCAAAAGCATCTAACAAAGCATATTTGCATCAAGTTCGTATCAAAACGTTTTCAAAATGGTACACTTCAGTCATTACAAAAACTAGTCGTCAATTGTTGGTAAGAGGCCTAGCCTAATAAGAGCGTCGGGCCAACATTTTGAGTCGTTTTTTCTTAAATAGAAGCAGTATTTATGTAGAAGTAGTATTTATGTATCCTGCTCGCGGTTGCCATTTTGGGCGAAATGTACCTACCATTTTTGGTACATTTTTTCCAGTCAAGCCCAGTTGCAGGGGCTTGAAAGTTCGCAAAGCTTACTAAAACCTCTACCGTTTGACACCTACATTTGAATATTTCGTTTAACTTGCCGATTAAATTGATTTTAAATTTCTAAACTGGTGGCAACTGGTGGGTTACCTCTGTCCTTCGATGCCCGTATTAAAACAATTCGTAAAACTTGTTAAGTAAATTGATTATGAATTTCTTAATAGGTGGCAACACTCGTCTAAAATATCTGCAAATAAATGTGTCTCAAATCTTTTCATTTAAATAAAACCCACACTGAAATATTGATTTAAATTGATTTTATGTTTATAAAAAGGTGGCACCTCTCTTCAAAAATATTTTTGAACCTTTTTTTTAACAATATGGGTATTGTAATATTTCATCTAACTTAACAAATAGTTGATTATAAATTTTGAAAAAGTGGCAACCCCCTTCATAAAAATATCCTGTATGTTAATCCAGGACATGGCCTATGAGTGAGCCATACTTTATTAAGAAAGAGCAACAAACATATACACTCACTAACTCAAACTTTCACACATTTATAATGCTAGTAGGTTTGATTAAAACGGTTTAAAATCTCGAAACGGGTGGCAACTCCCTTCAAATAAATTTTCGAAAGAAAGTTTTCTTAACCCTCTCTCGTTTGATACCCATAATAAAACATTTCGTTTAGCCTTTTAATTAAATTGTATTTGAATTTCTTAACGGCTGGCAACCCTATTTAAAAATATTTAGAAATAAATTTGTCTTAAACCTTTCTAATATGGTACCCATACTAAAATATTCGATTTAAACAGTTAATTAAATTGACATTAAGTTTATGAAAGGTGGTAACTCTCTTCAAAAATATTTTTTTTAATAAATCGTTTTTAAACTGCTTTTGTTTGACACCCACATTGTTGTAACAATTTATTTAACTTGTTAAACAGTTCGTTTTAACTTTTGAAAAAAGTGGCAACCCCTTCAAAATATATCCTATATGCCAATCAAGGTCATAGCCTATAAGTAGGCCAAATTTCATTGAAATACTTCCAGCCGTTATAGCGTAAAAGGGCTACAAACAAACATACTCACAAACTTTCACATTTATATTATTTAGTAGGATTTTCGATTTATACATAGATTTGTCAACAACGTGCATTATCCAAAATTTAATATATTTATAGTTTCTTAAACTTCGATCACTATTAAAACACTTTCGTTTAATTTTTAACTTTGCAGGGTTTGCCACGTTTTCCGTTTCTGTGACGTTATTTTTTTTTTTTTTTTTTAAGAAAAAGCAATGGCTTATTTTTATTCATACGGCCCATTAGGTTTGTTCCACAACCTACTTGTAGAAAAACTCGAGCAAAGTTCAAATTGTCGGCGTATATCAAATAAACTCTAAAAGTTACTTGTGAAACGCGTATTTGTAACTCGAAGTGACTTCGAGTAGCTTGTGGAACAAACCTATTATAACTTATATATAACTGACTCCCAAGAAACTATATTTATCGTTAAAACAAGAAAAGATAGGAAACAAGTGTCTATATATAAAATGTAGCTTTTGAGGTTTATTACACAACGTTTCAGAAATATGAACAGAAATATACGTGCGACTGTAACGTTAACGACAAAAATGTTGACCATATAGTCCTTAGTTGTACCTCACTTTAATTGATTTTAAGTACTTAAAAAATTATAACGTTTAAGTAATTAGTGTTGTTAAAATTGATAGGTTATATTGCTAGGTTAAGCTAGCGGTCTCTCGGGCCGTGGCCCTCACGGATCGGGGGCTCGTGGCATTTTGCCAGCAATGCCGCCCTATAATTTAACCAACGTATGCCCTTTTATAATTATCGCCTATCTTTTCTTTTTAGCTTGTCATCGATGATATAACACTCAATAATTCCGGTGAGAAATTCCTGCAGAATAAGGAAATGTATCCACCCTACAAGCCCTTCAAAATCGTACTCACACAAGACGGCACCGTCTCACATCTCTTCTTCAAAGAAGCAGATCCTATTTGGTCGACGAATTTCAAACGTGCCATAGCATCTATACTTCAATTTCAAGTTGAATCTACCGGCGCTTTCGTCGTAGATGAGGTACGCATTTAAAATTACGCTTTCTTTACAATTCAATTGGTCACTCACGCTTTGATTTCTCGCAATAGATCGGCATACATGGCAAATGTTCGACAGAGTATTTCGTATCGAACAAAACCAATTACATTTCCATACGCAAAACACCGGAATTGAAGAATTGCACACCCTTTTCGGAAGCCATACACGTGACACGCAGCAATGTGCCCTCGAATACGTGTGAATTCGACTTTCAAAAGAATGTCATCATCGGCAACGAAGCCATTTATGGCATGTTACCACACCCAGTGACTGGCTACTTCCTCAGCATGGCTCATGTGAAGGGCACAACTTTGATACACACATTTGAGTCGACGGGCGAGGCGCAATTTATCAACTCGGAGTATGTAAAGAGATCGCAAATTTAATTGATCTTAAGGTTGAGGAGTAAATCTAACATTGCCACTCTCTTATTTTAGACTCTTACTCAATTTCTTGAATGAGACGTCTCTGGACAATCCCATTGATATTGAGACTTCCATGTGCTCTGAGATATCGGGCCTTGAGCTATTACCCATCGATATTAACGATCCGACAGGTGGTCGCAATCCGCAGCTGCAAGAGTCATTAATGACAGCCGCATCCAGCATGTTGAACAGCCTTGCAGAGGGTCTGGAAAATTCTGAGCTACAATTTGGCGAACCTTATGACACAGCGGTTTCAGATTTGATAAAAGTGCTCTCCGAAATGGATTACGATTCGGTGAAAAAACTTTATAGAGATGTGGATATAGGAACTTCGTACCGGCAAGAGACTATAAGGAATATTTTTCACGAGATTATACCGCGTATCGGCACTAAAGCGTCTGTATTTTTAACGCGAGATTTGGTGCTGGAGAAAGATCTTAAGTCTACGATTGCAGTGCAACTTTTAATTTCAATACCCTTCCATATATTCGAGCTGTCGCTGGAATTGGTGAAAGAATGCGAGGTCTTTTTGACATTGGGTAAATTCAGAAAGGAAAATAAGGCTTAGAAGTGTAGTTTTACGCATAATTATTTTATCTTTTTAGGCCCTGATCGTCCAGACGTGCACCAAGCGGCAATTTTGAGTTTCTCCACACTGGTACACAACGTTTTCATGGCTGGCCGCATTAATAAGGACGTTTTTGAGGAATATGTACAAAAATACTTTAATCTTTATTTGAGTAAGTCATATGCTGTCAGTTCCATTTAGTAAAGTTTAATGAACTCGGCGCTATCCCTCGGGAACAATGGAGGTGGGTGAAGGCGGCTCTAGCAAACGTCTTGTTGGAGAACCCGGAACCCCTTCCGCGTGCAGAGATGCCAGCTGGTACCAGGGCCACTTCAAGATGGTAGATTGTGATGATGCGAGGTCGGTGGCGCTATAAGACCGTCGCAAAGGTGGGAGCTATCTGAAAGTGGTGCAAATCTGGAAGTGTTGGACTGGAAAGACATTCCAGTCAGGCCATGGTGTGGTTGCTGATGACGCCATCTTCGCCGGAGAGCATCTTAAGGATGCTACAAAACATAATTAGGCTCTTCCAACGAGTGATTAGAGGGTCCTACGGATTGAAGACCCATGTGGCCCGTTGAGGCAAGTGGCTCTGTCTCTGAACAGGGACTCGACCGAACCTCTGGAGTGGAGGCAGGGCCGTGTCTTCTACGGCCTCGACGTGCTGATCCTAAAGGTCTAACGCGGGGACGCGCAGCCGAAGACAATTAAACTTTACTAAAGCGAGATCGGCTAAACTCAAAATATTGAGACTTCATGTATGTAAATGTTAATCTTCCTAATGTGTTTCGCAGATAGTCGTGACTATGAATTAAAAATGCTGTACCTACAAGGCCTAAGCAATCTGCAGGTGGGCAACGTAGCCAACTACCTGGATCCCATTGTTAGTGATCCGAATGAAAATGAGGATATCAAATTCTTGGCTGCTTGGGCGACCCTCTCGCTAGCCACCGAACGCGCAGAACGAGTAAGAAGAGAGTAGTATCGTAGGTGCCGCTTAAAATTTTTATTTTTATTTTACAGATCTATGAAATTTATTGGCCCATCTTTGAATCACGCAATGCCAGCTTGGAACTGCGTGTCACTGCTGTTACTCTTCTACTTATTTCAAATCCGACAGCAGCACGTCTTATCAGTATTCATCGCATCATACAAAGTGAAACAGATCCGCATATGATTAACTATTATCGCACCACCATTACGAGTATATCCGAGACGACTTATCCTTGTTATCAACATCTGTAAGTGATAGCATTAACAAGAGTTGTTCTTGTCTGAAAAGATAGATGAAAGCTCTTATTCAACAAAGGGAAATCGAGGCGGTGCATCTCTGAACTCATTTCATTCATAAGTCGTTGAACAGGAATCCGATTTCCATATGTTCCCATCACGTGTAGGTCAAAGTCAAATACCTTTATTCGAATGATATCATTTTGTTAACTTAGACTCTGAAAGAAGTGGAATTACAGCTGGGCATGAATCGCGGCATTCGTGATTCAATGAATCCTCGTTTTGAATCGAATCAAATCAACTAAAATTACAGCTGTTTTCTGTGCAATACAATTTAAAATGAGAAGTCAACTCGTTATCGAAGGCCGTGATCTTAAAAACAAATTTCAATTCTAGTTACGCTCGATATCGAATGCTCCGATTCGGGCCCTGTTTTCACAAACAGTTCTAAAAGCCCTGGGGTATTTGAATAGGCGAACATGGTCTTAGACTGAAGCTTTCAGTATCCTTGGGAACCTTCCGAAACATCTTCCAAGTGGGAATTTATGCTATTAGTCTTTGTGCAGAGATTAACCTTCGTAGGAAATAGCGAAGTGAAAATATCCTCATATCAAATTATAGTCAGTAGGCACTTATGGCTCTCTCTTCCTTTGAGGTCAAATCCTCATTGATCCTGGAGAAGCTTAATGTGCTTACTGAGAATAATATTATCCAACTGATAATAGTACGCATGGGAGCGTAAGGAAATGAGGGAACTGCATTGGCGAAACTCCAAGACAAGCTAAGAGCTTACTAAGGGGTACAATCTAAAGAGATATAGACTACTGATAAACCTCCCCAAATAGAGGGCAAGAAAAATTATAGGTATTTTTACGAGTCACTGTAGGCTAAGAGACCACTTGCATAAGCTAGGGATCTGGTAAAGCGATCTGTGTCGCTTTTGTGACTCCGCCAAAGAGACAACATTGCACTTCCTCCTGGAGTGTGAGGCCACTGAAGGTGAAGGGAGAGGTGTACAGTACATCCATGGCCAAGGGAAGAGCACATACACACCCCACCACCGGGATTTATTAAAAAATTTATGAAGTCTTTAGGTCTAGATGCAGTGCTCTGATGATTTTAGGGCACAATAGACCAAATGGTTGCAGTGCTCACTCTATTTTTATCTGTCTATAGGTCGAGAGATCGAGCTCAGAGATGCTCCGTTTCGATTTCTCTCTGAAGCCTTGTCTTAGAATCAGTACTCGCTATCGATTAAACAACAATTAGAACTTAAAATTTTTTGCACCAAAAATGAACTAGGTCTCTGGCTACCTTTCTCTGTGTATATATCTAAGTAACACTCTCCTTCTCTCCTGTAGCCGCCGTCTGCTCTCGTATATGCATCGACATTTACCACAAAAGCCCGAATCTCGTTACTGGGTCACCGGAAATTATATTTTCGATTATCGTGATTCGAAATTCGGTATTGGCGCTATGTTGCAAGTATTTTTGGTAGGTGACTCGAAATCAGACTTGCCAGTGGTTGCTTATTTCAAGTTCGATACAGAAGCTTTGGGCAAATTTACCGGGCAATTGGCGGTAAGATGTTTCGATTTTATTTTATACAATATTTATGTTTCCCTCCTCCCTCCACAGCTCTATATCAAGGCACGCGGTCTACCCGATGCCATATTCCACAAATTTTTGAAGAATACCGCAACGCCCTTAAAATTCGAACACATCAAGGAATTATTGCACGCCCTGAAGGCGCCAATTATTGAATCCAAACCGCTGCATCTTGAATTTATCCTACAAATGGAGGGTAAAACAGTTTTATCGTATTACCTGAATCAGAAAACTTTTCAAAAACTAACCTACTCCGATCGTAAGTGTTGATTGTGTTTCGCACTCTCTCCATCACTCTCCCACTTTTTTTCAAATTCTCAGTTATCAATCGCGTCAGTTTTATCATACGCGCTGATAGCCACATCAATATGCAAACCATTCGCTGGCCCTTCATGACCAAATATTCGGTACCCACAGTTTTGGGCACCGCTTCCGATGTGCTACTCCAAACCACTGTACTCACTTCACTGCGTGGCAACATTACACAACATCGCACCAATGATGTCATGAAATCAGCGTTGGAGATTGATGCCCGTTACTCGTCGTACGCATCATGTCGCAGTCGTAGCTATAATCCATTCTTGAATTTGGATCATGAAATCAATCGTGAACAGGGCTTCCTTATCTATGTGCCGTTCAATACTGATCTAAATATGAATATTACCAGCAAATGTTTGCGTTATTCCTTCCAGCGTCCGGAGAATATGACAAGTGGACTTTCATTTAAATCGCGTTCGATTACTTCGACGCGTGGACAGATAACAAAAGCTACCCAGCCTTTTGATGAAGTCTTGTATCCCGAAAGGCTTGTGGATGTGGTAAGTTGGAGGTGTTGAAGGAGTTGAAGACAAAATTCAATTAGTGAGTAAACTTTACTTTCAGTTCCAGCTGTTCAGATACGACACAGACGATTTGGGCATTTCAGTGTCCATTAAAACAAATCTAAACGAATTGAATAAGTACCGCGGCATGCTGCTCAAGTCAGAGTTTATGGAAAAGTGAGTATGAATTTTTAAAAGGCTTCTTGGTCCCATTTTCACATCACCTTTTTATTACTTTGACAGCGGTTTCTCGCGCAATATGGTCATAAACTTTATAATGTATGTTTTTGGTGTTGCACAATTGAGTTCGATACATCTTGGACATGACCGAAACTTTACGATGCTTGTGCAGAATGAAAAACCAACGAAGGTGGGTACGAAAATGTTCTCAAAGTAGCAGTAGATCCTATCGCCCACGTTCTGTCTCGTCCAATACAACAATTTGAGCAAATATGAAACAAATTTCTTTTTTATAGATCGATGGCTCGATTTGTAAACAAGATCTAATAAACACGGCCGATAAAATTGGACAGCAGCTCAGCTTTACCATGGAGCATTCGAGTAATTTAGACGTCTCGGAAGCTCTGCACAGCTGGAACGTTACAATGGATATTTACTCCTCAACTAAGAATAACTGGTTTAATGTAATTGGCACTTTGGAACGCACATCGAAAGTCGACACTCGCGACTGGAGGGTATGTTAAAAGAGAAAACCGAAGGGCTAAATGAAAAAATTTCGCATATTAAAAAAAAAGAACTCGATGTGTGGGTTCACTCCTGTTTGGTTATCTCTGTAGTGAAATGGGTATCTGGTTATATTTTTTATTCAATTTAGAACAATAAAATACACTAGGGGTATTCGTGTAACGTAATAAACTGCCGATAAACGTAAAAAAATTATAAGTTCCATACAAATTCATAGTTTTCTCACGTTTATCGTCAGTTGGTGACGTTAGAATACTACCCCTACTATAGAATAATAAGTTTTAACTAGATAACTATACAAGTGTAGACAATAGGGTGGCTCAAAAATACATGGGACGAAAAAAAATTAGAATGTTAAGCTTTTTCTACATCGCGTGTATTTTATATGGAAAAAACACATTTTTTCTTAGAAATGGTATAGAATTCTTGAAAATTAAGAGCTTCCGATCGATAAATATTGGTTTTCTACGAAACACTTTATTAGCTTTGACGCATCCCTAAACCTATTTTTTTTTTTGTTAAACAAAATAATACACAATGTAAAAAAAAATGTCTCCCCCACTTTATTATTCTACTTGTTTTAATTAATTTCATGATTTTGTTCCTATAAAAAAAAATCAAGCCTTATTTTTCAAAAAAGTTTTTTCTTAAGTGTTTTTCCGAAAATATTTTTCCCAAAAAATTTGTTTTTTCCCAAGAAATTATTTTTTACCAAAAAAAAATTGTTTGTTACATCAAGTCAAATATTTTATAATTTTGATAGATATTATTTTCTTAAAACCATATTGTTTCCTACAAAATTTAAAAAACCCTTAAATTGCTCTTTCGTATAAATAGTTATTTCCTCTTCATTTTTACTCAAAATTTTCTCTGGTTGCTAATTACAATTTCTTCTTAATAGTCTAAGATCCGAAAAGGCCACCACCTTCAACCATCTGTTTAATGGATGAAATCTATATGAAATTTAACGTGTTAATAAATATTTCGCGAGTGGGTTGGCTGAAAAAATCCTGGCCAGGCTATTTTTAATTAAATATTCAAATATCATTTTTATTTTTTATTTTTTACTCAGTCGAAAGTATTAAGCCTATAGAATGTGCAATCGATGGGTTATCTATTTTTTTCCTGCCTACCTATCGGGTTGGAAAGTAATACAGGAAAAGAATAGCAATTTTCACTCATCTGTAACCAAAAATATCCAGATCAAGATTTGTTTCAGCCAACCAACTCGCGAAATATTTCCCAACACGTTAAATTTCATACAAAGTAGATTTCATCCATTAAACAGCTCATGCTCCTATCGGAAACTCAAAGCCGTTCTCGTAGTTTTGTTGCCAAGAACGTTTCGAAAGCAAAACAAAATGAGAACAAAACTGTCCAGCACGTTTTCAGTGGTAGAACAAAACCCCGTGGAGCCTTTCCTAAAAGAACAAAATGCGAACAATACTTTCGAGAACATTTCTAAGAGAACAAAAGTGGCCGGAAAGGTTTGGAAAAGAACTAAACGGGAACAAAAGTCTAAGGAACTTTCTCGCGAATAACAGTTCAAGAACTAAAACCTCGGGAACTTTCTGACAGAAAACAAAACGGGAACAAATCTTATAAATTAAGTAAATGTATTAACNATTTTTTTTTTTTTTTTTTTGTTGAGCTTGAGGACGTTATTAGTGAAAATTTGTGTGGAAAAACAACAATAAATATATTACAAAATAAATAGTTACTAGGCCAGAAAATAACGGAAACAAAATATTGAAAATTTTTCTTTAGGGAGGTAAGAAGCAAATTAATTTTTTCGCTCTCTGCTCCAGCTAAAATCCTCTGCTCCTTGCTCCGCTCCGCACAGGATCCCTGGTTTTAACAAAGCCATGCGAGGTTTATGCTACTAAACGGCACTTGTTGCTACTTAGGCGTCTTTCGCCTCCATTATAAGCTAACCTACTAGCATCCGTACCGGCGATATTCCTGGTCTTAAGAGAACTCTACGGATCATACAATCCTATAACGTACTTATTGACCTACTGTATGTTTGCTTGCAGGAGAGTTCCTTTCGTGATTTGCTTCTCTTTCCTAAGATCTTTTTTGAAGTTTAAAGAGAAGTTCTGCGTTTACGGGCTCTTGATATCGATGGCCTCGATAACTAAGGAAAATTTTGATCGTTCTTGATACTCTGATCGTAACCTAAGCAAGTGAACAAATACGTTTATGGTTTACTCAAAGACTTCCTTTTGGTAGCTACTGAGCAAGCTCATATTCCGTGAATGCGAAAAGTTAAAACGCATTCGATTCGCGAAACAAGTAATTTTAAAGTTTATCAACTCCGCAAACGGGAGATCGTAAACACGTTAACAGAAATATTGTGTAAAAACATGAAACTATTTATACGTTATAAGAAATTTAAAATTTTTACTACGTTTTAATTGTTCCCTCGCACTTCGATTACTCCACTTGCTGGCGTCCTTAATCTTCACCACCACCAGCTTCTAGCTCCTCTTCGACAGATATCAATGCAACTATACCCTCTTGCAGTGACTTAACCAACTCGAATTCGGTGAAACCCAAGCGACGTCTATTCGAAATATCCATAACACCATCTTCTATCTGGGTATGTTCACCACCAGTGCCGCGTATCTGCAAATTCAACTCTTCAGCCATTGCCTTGAGTTTGTCACCCTGCTGCGACAGCAGTGGCAAACGTATATGGACTGATGCGCGTAGCGTTGTGCCAAGATTGGTGGGGCAAGCGGTCAAGTTGCCATAACGAGGGTGACGTGCAAACTGCAATGACTTCTCCAATTCGGTTAAGCCAGCAACTAACCGATTGTAGACATCACCTGAACGAAATCATACAAATATTTAGTGTTCAATAATTGCTGCGATTTATCTGCTTATTTGCTTACCTAAATCACCGCACTTAGCCATTGAAATGATACGCAAATGATCCTCTTCATTCACCCAAATTAAGAAAGTTTCAGCTGGATTATGAAATATACCGCGACCGGTGGGCCAGAAGCGATAACAGCCCGCTGTGGTTAAAAACTCATCGCCACGTTTGAAAAGTATATGACGTGCGACCATTTCATGTTGAATCTCTGGCTCTAAATCGACCATGCTAAAGTAGGCGCCCGTGTGTTCACCATCCAAGCTCTCGGCTGCAGCACGCACTTTTTCCTCAATTTCGAGATATTGTTTCTCACGTAATTTGGGAAAGTATGGATAACCTTCAAGATTACGCGCAATACGAATTCTTGTCGAGAGTATATACTTGCGTTCCGGATCCAAATTTTCGATTTCATCGACGTTGCCCCAATCGTTGTCCTTTTGTAAAATCTCACTCTCATTTTCCAATTGGCCGTGATAGTCCCTAATGATCGGATCGAAGAGCTTATTGAAAACATCATAGGAATCGGCATCGGCTGCATAAACGCCACAGCTGGAGTTGTGATGTATGGCGCCCGATTGTATGCAATCGTAGAGGTTAGCCTCAGTGGGCGGCGCAGTTGTGGTCATCAAATACTCATCCAGAACTTCACGTGTCAAATATTTGCGCAATAGCGAATTATTATACTCTTCATCCTCCGTAAGGCTCTTGAAACCCTCTTCCAATAGTTCGGCAATCTCTTCGGGTGTTTTCTTGCTGCATGCCAAAACGAAGTGCATTCATTATACGAACACGAATGAGTAGGAATCATAAGGTGTAGCTATTTGTACTTACATTTGACTGCGCAAACGTTCCAGCTCCTGCTCTAAGCGTGCAATAGTCTTATTGGCCTCTTCAAGATCAGACTTCATCATATCGAATTGCTCATCGTCCGGACAGGATTCGCACATGAATTTGCGTACAAAGCGTATAGCATCATCTGGTTTATTCTGCTCTTCGTAGAGTTTGATTAACGCCTTACTGAGTGCATCAATGACGCCAGCGCGCTCCAAGTACTTGCGATACTGCACGCGTTTTGATTCAATCTTTTTAAAAAAAGTTGAAATTAGTAAACCGTCCGTCAGTCTGAGTTGGAGTGGGGTGGGGTGGTGGAGTTTAAACGTAGAACGGTACTCACCGAAGACATGATGTGCTATAGCTTCTCTCTAGCGGAAAACTTGCTTTTTTTTATTAGCTTATTGCAACTGAAAAACTATTTTCTAATCCACTCAAAAGAATGACTTTTTGCTTGTAAACCAAACTGATGTTTTCATCAATTTCAAACTGTCTAGCCAGAGAATCAAAAGTTACGCGATTAAATGCCGATGATCTTGGCAACTTTCATACGAAGTACTGAAATTTTATCTGCCCAAAAACAAAACTTTCCATGCATTTGTATTCGTTTTTCAAAAGATTTCAAAGTTCGACATTTGTATTGCTCATAAATCGAAGTTGTAGAATATAAAGACACAGCTCTATCGATCAAACACAGCGAACTAAGTGCAAGCAACGTGCAAAGTACAGAGCTGCAGGTGAAGACTGCATGTCGACGAGGTGAGCCAGACATGTTGACGATGTTAATAATGCGAAAGCACAAAAGTTGGTTGTACTAGTAAAGGCATGCGTACATACTTACGTACATACAGTTAGAGGAAGCCCTAAGTAACCTTACCCACAACGCTGTCAACGAACTGTTGAAGGATTTATGTATGTACATATATATTTGCACGACAGTCATAACCGCGCAATGTTGGGTGGTATGAAGCCCTTTGTGTAATCGTTGGTAAAGGAAAGTTATGTATTGTTTTGTTGTGGCAACAGTAGATGCTAACGAGCCGCCACCATGGAAATATGTTGAGCTACTATGAGCACCGCATTATGGTGAATGATGAGAAGCCGCTATATAGTAAAAGTTGCTTGTTAACTTAACAGATAACACATCTAGCCGTGTCTTTTCATTCGTCCTTTAGATAATAGATGAGTTTAATAAGGTAACGAGTTACTGCGACCAAGGACGATCTATAGTAATAAGCCCTTTATTTGACAGCAGGTCTTCTTTGAAACTCGTACCGC